CCTCGTATACACAATACTTCAATTATTTTTAAATTGAAAATAAGATGATGATGATGATGATGATGATGATGATGATGATGATTATTACATAGAGTAAAATCTTTCATTTGTATCATGTAAGATAATGTGTTAATTACTCCCTTCTACATTTCAGCTTCCAGTAAGTGAGGATATTTACTTCTGAAGAAGACAGACATTGTGGGACATCATTTGACGTGAACATTGCTCATCTATGGCCCATCTGTCAGTTAATATGTTTCAGGTTATTTAGTATTTGACAGTTAATATTTAACTTAATTTTTCTAGTATCTTGGATCAAATCATGCTATTCAAGAAATTTCTGATTACAGTACAGTACACTACACATAGCATGTTTAATACTTTTCTATTGGCATCTTTCCAGTCAAAACTTCCCCTTCCCAAATTGATCACATCTGATGAAAGTATAACTATCAGAATTCTCATCTGTCATGGAAATTTCTAATATATCTGAAGGTCCCCAGTTGGGAAAAGCTGATCTATATAGATTGGCAGTAGCTGTCCAGAAATTCAGACAAGCAACATTCTAATCCCACTTGAAGATGATGATCTTGTCCACTAGCTCAGTTTCTCCATTATGCCATTGAAAAAAAAAAGTGATTTATTTTGCTATAAATAATCAGACACCAACTTGAGCCAGTGAGTCAAAATGTGAACATGGAAGAACTAAGTCCAGACCCTTGTCTACCTGTATGTGTAATGCAAGATTGTGGATAAACTTCTCAGTTGCTCTCAGTCCCAGCTCCCAATGCATAAAATAAGAGCTAAACATTACCTAATTATATACTCATGAAATTTGCCCTTTGTGTTGTGCACTTCCCTATTCAAGTTCTACATCATTAGCTGCAGGAGGGGTGGCAGAGAAAGAAAAAAACTTGATGCCATACTAAGAGTTTCATTTCTGCAAATTGCATGAGAAAAGAGGGAAATTAAATACAAAATAGCTTTTCAGCAACAGCCCTAAATTTTCAGTAAAATTTAATTCAGAATTTTCCAAGTGACTGCACTCCAGATTTACTGAACTTCCCAAAATTTCCAGCCAGTGTAGGTATCAGGAAATCATCTTTCTTAATCTGGAAGGAAGTAAGTTGGGAAAGGTTGGTCTAGTTTAATTCATTGGGTTGGTATGAGAATAGATAAAAACTAATTAAAAGGATAAATAGAGACAGTTTTAAAAATCTGATATGTCTGTAAGCAGGAAAATAGAAATATAGAATTCCATAATTAGAAACCCATTAATGAAATATCAGATAAGTGTTCAAATTTACTGATGATAATACAGAAGACTTCAGTTGGTATTGGTCAAATTTGGCACAAAGCGTACGCTAAGACTTACTTCAGGAAACAATTTTATTCAATGAGCAAAATACCAGCATGAAACAATTATCAGATTTGTTTACTGCAAGTTAATTGTACAGCTGCTGAAGTACAAGTTCCAGCTTGCTAATCTTTTAAAAAGAGAATGAGAAAGAGAGAGTGCATAATGCAAAAGTACTCAAGTAGTCATTTGTATGTAGATTAAATCTAAATCTCACTCAAACTTTGTGGAAATCCCAGTCAGAGTGGCTAGTGTATGACTTCCTTTGTTTTTGCATTTCTGAATGGTGCAGGCCTATTAAAATGAAGGGGAAGAGTCAGCACTTACCACGTGTCTGTTAATTACTCACTATGGTTATTGAGAGTTAGTACTTATTAACCAGGGAGCAAATCATTATTTATATATAATTATTTCCTCAGATTTTACCCTCTTTTCTTGTATAAATAAGACTGTTAAGTCAAATGGGATGACAAATAATAATAATGACACTAAAAACAGTGTAAGGTTCCACCAATAAAACAGCTTTATGACTCAGAAAAACATGTATTTGAAAGACAGAAACTTAACTCCTTCAACAAGGAAATGCTTTTTCAGTCTATTTTTAGAATAGTCTACAAACTGAAGCAGGGTGTTTCATGAGAGAGTCATAAAAAAGGCAAGATGGCAGCCATGAGTGAAGAATTGAAGCCCCACCCTTTTTTATGTGGCTCACATCAATGCTATCATTCTGATACTGTGGAGGGAAGAAGGAATGGCCTTGAGGGACAGGAGAAAGAGCTGCTACCAAGACAACAATCAGATAAAAGAGGACCAAGTCCAGG